TTTTTTTTTTTTTTTTTATATCAGAGTATTGCAAGATAAATCACATCCAAAATCCAAAAAACTTACCAAACACTCCGGTTCAAGTGCATAAGAACCATTTGAATAATATTTGTTGGGACACTCTGCCCAAGGCAGCTCAGACTGAAAACTCTGGGAAAAAAAATTAATTTAGGTACTGCACATGCGTTATTTGAAAATATTTATAAAGTTTTCATCTTATGACAAATAAACGAAAACATATTCAAATGTACCTGAACAAAGTAAAATAGGCACCACGCGATAATAGTATTGTAGTAGAGTGCGACGTTGAACGATACTACAGCGCTACTGATACCTATTCCAGCCATGTACGGGGATACCTTAATTTTTAAATTGATAAATTAGTACGTGCAATAAATATTTGTTTAAAAAAAAAAAAAGAAATATTAACGAGTCCCACCTGATTCCAAACCCCAATTGCACCCTTTCGTAGTCTTTGTCCGATGGCGAGTTCAAGGTAAAATATAGGAATTCCTTCTATCGCCAACATCACGAAGTACGGTATTAAGAAAGCACCTGTAATACACAAAAAAAAAAGATATATAATGATATCAGAGATTAATAGATTAATAAAGCCTCTATAAAAAACATTTAGTCAACGCCTAGAAATTCTGAAGAATCTTTATAATTGCATTAATTTTATAAATTTTCATCATTCAAAAATAATACATATTTTCGTGAAAAAAATATACGTAGATTTCTTATTGTTATATGTTGAGTCTAGAAAACTTCGTAAGCCAACATCTTGAAAAATTAATCCAAAAATTTTTTTTTAACCAATCGCAACTGGAGAGAAAATGAGTTAATTTTCACAATTAAAAAAAAAAATGATTCTTTTCATTTATTTTCGTGTAAAAAAATTACTTTTTTTCTCATTTGCATGCACAATTTAGACTAAAAATGATTCATCATAATTCATGAATATGTACCAACAAGTAAGATAATTATAATCCCAATAAAAAATCGAACGTTTTAAAAAAATTTTTTTTAAAGTATAAAAAAAAAAAAAATCGTAAGGACACCGTATTTCAGATAACAAAATCAGAGAAACAGAGAGAGAGAGCGCACAAGTTCATCGATTTTGGTCAGTTCTCCGACTATCTGTACGTTTATCGGACATTTGTATAGTATGAAGGCTATAGAGGGAGATAACTTTTCAAAGCTATACTTGCACATAGCCAGATGGATTTCCAGCCGAAGTGTACGTAGACATTTTGAAGGAATATCAACGTGAACTTTTATAAAAAAAAAAAAAAAAGGAAAAAGCCAAAAACTTAGTTCAATTAGCATAAAAAAAAAAAAAAAAGCCAAAAAAAAACGCCTCACTCTCGGTTACTGTACTCAAGGACTCTCATATAGATGCCAATCAGCGATTTATGAGAGAGTATTTTTAGCCAGCGCGAGGATTGTATAAAATAGACGTTCAAACGACGTAGCTTGTTCTTTGGCACCAAAAGACACTCGATCGTGATTTAAATTACTACACATTAGACCATCTTGCAGATATATACATGTATTATATACGTAAAAATATCAACACACTTAGGCATATGTATATATATACATATACAAACAAGTACCGCTCCAATAAAACAAAATTCTCAAGGCCATTGGCACATACCCCCTCCGTTTTTCTGGGCGAGGTAAGGGAAGCGCCAAACGTTGCCGAGGCCCACGGCGTAACCGACGGTGGCCAGGAGGAAGGTCAGCTTGCTGTCCCAATTCTCGCGCTCGTCCTCGCCAGCCTCGGGCTTGAATATCCCCTTGCCCTCGTTGCTCCCCAACTTACTGCCCCCGCCACCTCCGTCGCCAACTTCGGAAGATAGAGCCGAGGCAGCTGCCGCCGATGCCCCCGACGAAGGTGCACCCCCGCCGCTGCCTCCACCCAGTTTGCTCTGCCGGACATTTCACGGATTTTATACAAGCCATTCGACATTATATTATGATCTACTGCACCGTATAACGTATTAGTTGTTTAAAAGTTTCGTATTTTAAGTTTAAATCGATGTTACTTGGATGGACCGAGTATTCATTTCGTTTGTACAATATATGTGTATTGGAATTGTATATTTGTTCCTTGCCTTGTTGTGACTGGGGCTCGAGTCCTCAAAGGCAGCATTGGTGGCCCCGTAATTGGCAGTGATGTTGCTCTTGCGGCTCTCGACGACGAGCCGGCCGCGCATCTCCTTCATCTCGAGCTTGTCGACGCTCTTCTGGGGCTTGAGGTCGCGCGAGCTCTGCCGGCGCACCAGATGCGCCGTGTTCGCCATCCTTCACCTCCTCACCCGAGCGGCTACTATCGTCTCGTGGCCCAAAGTGCCTCGTCTTCGTCGTTTTGCCGGATTTTCGCGTCCCACACGAGCACGAGGTTTTATCCGGTTATCGTCGTCCACACCCTTTGGCTTCGTCCTTTGCCACCTCGTTTTTGGATCTTCTTTGCTCTTCCGAGGATTATGTGGACTTTTTTCATCAGATGGATGGGTTAACGACTAATGGCTCCATCCTGAAACGTTAATTGACAATTACTCTTTTTTTTTTTTTTTTTTTTTTTTTCCCGAGATGAGCATGTACTTTTTGACTAGCTCGTCAGTGACGTGTTAGAAAATTATACCATGTGTATTGCGAACCGTATATACTTTGGAGATGTAGAGTTTTTTCTTTATTTTCCGAACAATAGCAGTTGATGTTTCTGAATCAACAGAGACCGAAGGAATAAACGAAGACAGACGCTACGAGTAGAAAACCTGGGCAAAGTAAATCGCCTCGAGGGTACTTGTACGAAAATATCCATTTTGAGACAAAGTCGATTGACGATGGCTATTATTAACCGCGACTCGATAGGCAAAGAGAGACACTTTTGTGTGCAGAGCTCTCGTGCATCCGCGCGCAGCTTAGCGCCTCCGCTAACGACGCGAGAGAGCCACTCCAAGTGTCAAATCGATTCTTCGAGCAACAGCCGACCTTAATCGAATGCCAACGAGGCACAAGCCTCACGGCCCGTGTATCCAGAGGTGATGGGACGTGTGTAAGTTGTGGGCTTCCATTGGTGTCGCCACGGGGGCTTGCTTAGGAGTCAAGTTATCTGCTTAAAGTACACGAGAAGCAATTTCAACTCCTCGTACGCGTGGCGGCTACCATTTGAGCGCGAGAAAGTGCTCGCGTGTACCCTCGGCTAGGTAACTTTAGTTGGAAACTTTGCCAGTGAAAGACTTTCACCCCCTGCGCGCGTGGGGTCTCGGCGTCTTTTATTTCAAGCTCTTGAGTGAAAATAATGGCCCCCCCCCCGGAAGGGCTTGTCTCGGGTTGTACGGGGCAAGACTAAAATTAAATTCCCGGCTGGACGCCCTGAGGGGGCATAAAAAGGGCTCTGCTCGAACGCAACTTTGAAAATACGCGTGTCGACGGGCAGGCCAAGAAAAAGAGGCGCAAAGAATAGCTGGCGACTACCTACCGATTGTTTTCGTTGGCCAAAAACCCAAGGGAGAAGGAAGCCGATTGATTGATGAAATAAATGTACGTGAACCAAAGAGCTCCTGGAAATCGCGAGGATATCTATCTTGGAACAACGTCCAGTGTTGCTTGTTATATAATAATACATTCGTAATCCCCCGAGCTCTACCCGTTCCCGAAACGACGAGAGCTACAGTTGGTCGCGCCTATGTGCCGCATCAATTTTGAGATCTACCCTCTTTTCCGGTCTTTCGTCGAGGAAATGAATCACGACGGGAAAGAAGGATGGCTTCTTTTTTTTTTTCTCGACTCTTTTAGTCGTAGTAGGACGAAGCTCTCGGGACCAGGAGTGTTCGGGGGGAGATACACTCTGCGATAGTGTACATAGGAATTTACGAAGATTTTTCGGGTATTTTTATATAGGATCAGGGAGGAGCGAGCATCATGATTTTAATAAACAAGTATAGCATTTCTTAGTAAACGAATTTGTTCTTAATATGCAAGTAATCGTAGGATTTCGTTGTAAGCTTTTTTTCTTTCTAATTCATCTAGTGTGTGTTCATTTTGTGCGAGTCAAAATAAAATTATTATCACTCGACAAAGACTCCGCGAAGAGTTTATACATTCTAATTACTGTATATTTAAAGCGCTTACTTACTTCTGCATCAATAGATATCAATCAATAGACAATTCGATTGATTTGATAAAAAAAAAAAGTGACTGGCAAACCGTTTATAAAAAGGTATCATGAATTCTTATTCAAGATGTTTTTTCGAGGTTCTTCTTATTGTTACTAGTGTTATGGTAAGTTTTTTTTATCTCTTCTTTTTCCACAAGGACCAGTTCCAGACAATGCCAAAAAATACCACATTTGATGTATCGTGTCCAATACCATTTGCACACCGTTGTCGAATAGCGTTATTATTTGCTCTACTTTGTTTTTAAATTTTACCTCATTCCGCTGTTACAATAAAGATTAAATATACATGTGTTTGCACAAAATGTACTAGATAATATTGGGGGTGGGGAGTTTATATTTTTTTTACGAGGACCTCGATCCACTAGATAAAACCTTGGGCTCCACGGGGTAGAAAAAGTACCATATCCGCCCCATCCTAAGCCTTTGAAACTAATGAAACATGTCGATCCATTCGAATCGAGTAATGAGAAGCAAACAGAACAACGTTGCCGTTGTCGTCAATGTCATCACCGCATAAGCACATGTATATGCACACGTGAGCGCTTCCGCGTCGGACGGATCGATACAGTATAAATATCAGCCCGTTAACTCGGGGAAATAAGGGAAATGCGCGGCAATTTATCATACCCCTTTGAACTCGCATACATGTGACACGTGAACTTTGTCCCTGTGTGGAAATAACCATCGTACTCTGCGAATAACATAAAACGTGTGATTAAATTCATGTCATTCGAAGCACGACCGATACCGTTGCCACCTATTTTTTACAAATGTCATTGATGTGAAATACTTTTTTTATAACTTTTTTTTTTTAATTTTAAAACATAAAAATAAATCATTTCTACTTTAAATCGACTGAAAATAAAAACATCGAACGCCGCCAACGGACAAAGTATTAAACGCGCTTTGCAAGCTGAGTGTGAGTTATTTTCGTTCTGGCAGCTTCCGCATATTGTGAAGTGATTAAAATCAGAGGTCGAGTGCCAATGGCAATAACGTAGATTATTACCTGGCACCGGTTAATTTGCCGAGTGGGTTACACTCGTTGCTCTCTTTTGGAGAAAGATATGGTTGCGAAGGAGTGAGAGATTACCCGTGTACTTGAGCCCCGAATAGCTTTTCCCGCAAAGTTGTTGATGAAAACTCGATGTCCGCACTGAGTGCAATATTTTAAATTGCCCGAGTTGCTCGAACATTGTATGGATTTCCGATCGCAAGGCGCTGTTCGAGCTTCCCTTACTTTTTATCCAAAAACCACACCTTTCCAACAATATGTGCACGTTCATTATCACATGGGATCATCACTTGTTACACTGTTGGATATTCGCACGTCCCCGTGTATGTTTCTCGTAAAGTAAAAAAAAAAAAAAAAAAAAAGAAATCAAGTTACAGAAGGGGTACANAAAAAAAAAAAAAAAAAAAAAAAAAAAAAAAAAAAAAGGAAGACGGAGATTATACATTGACGCTCCGGATGAATGCACCTATTGAGCGAGTTGGTCGGGAATGCCATACAACGTGTACATATGAAACGATTGATTACAATTATACGTGAAAATTCCGTGGAAGCGATAAGGCGACGCTGCTGCAGTTGATTTTTGTTAATTGGTCTATTGAGTGTCTTATGTGTAGGTGGATGATAACAGAGTTTCTTATTTTTTTTCCATCCAAGCAGTTGATAATCAAATAAACTGCTTGTGTTTGACATTTCGTCGCGTCGTACATCGATTCGCGTAACTCCACAGTAAAAGACAAACGCTCCAATTTAAAACTTACTTTGTGTTTGACTTCTCGTACTTTTTTTCCCTTTGTTATCTGAGATGGAGCTTTTGTTGCTTATCGTGTGGAATATCACGCGCAACTGCACTGCTTTGTATCATCCTCTTCGTTGTTATTATTACCTCTGAATTCCATCCATTATTCCATAATTTATTTCTACGACTGTAGGGACAAAAATGATGCATTTGATTTTTTTAGCTGGTTGTGGCCGATATTTGCAGTGGGCGGAAATAAGAAGCTCGAGGTAACAGATCTCTACGAAGTATTGCCGGAAAATCTTAGCGAGTTGAACGCCGATGCTTTGGAAAAGTAAACTCTTTGTCTTGTTTTCCTTCGAATGAACAATTTTATCGTATTGAAAAAAATTTGCTCGAAACAGAAATTGGATGAAAGAGTTGTCAGATGCCACCAAGACGGGGAGAAAAGCCAGCTTTTTCCGGCCACTTTGGAGAACATTCAAATTACGGTTTCTCGGCAGCGCGTGTCACGCCTTTCTCTACCACATTGTTCTCCAGTTAGTAAAATCGTTACCTGCAATTGACTTTTTTCTTAAAAAATTAAAAATAGTTGACCAATGTAAAATTAATAATTTCGAAGAACGATCGAGCCAATAGCCGTGGGTCTCCTTATTTGGCACTTTGACCAACGAGCCACATCGAGCACGACAGAAATCTACGTTTACGCGACCATTTTCGTGATTACCAGAGTATTGGGCCAATTGGTGTTCAACCATCAGCTCATGAACTTACGTAGCGTCGGCGTGAGCGCCAGAGTCGCCTGCACTTCTATTATCTACAGAAAGGTGAGAGTAATTACAAACCGCTTAACATAATAACTGACTAGTCGTCGATTTTTTTTTCGTCCACTATTTCATGACAAAGTTTTTTCCACCGTAACAACTCTACAATTTTTCAAAAAATTGCCTCCTCGTATCAACATTGTATACCACACAATCATACTCAATTTACTTTTTTTTTTTTTTTTTTTTTTCATTTCGGTGAAAATGATATAATATGTTCTCGCACACTTTCATCTTTTTCGACGAATGAATAAATTGATCGACTTTATTATAACACGTAGTAACGCAAACACACAAAGGTACTAATATTAGCATTTTTGGTAAAAAAAAAACATCATGTAATCGATAAACGCTCGTGTCCAACGGCAGATATTGAAATTATCACACACCGAGAAACAAGCCAACAGCGGAAGGATAATCAATCTGCTGTCAAACGACGCAGCCAGACTCGAGCTTTTCTTTTTGTTTCTCCACACTCTGTGGGTACTGCCCGTCCAAACGGTCCTGCTCGTATACCTGATTTGGCACCACGTGGGGGTCGCGTCCTTGGCAGGCATTGGTCTTCTGATGAGCCTCACCATTCCAGTATTTGGTAATAATGCTCCACAAACTCGGACCAAAGTCAAGGTATATACTGAGAGAACAAACCAGATAAAGTACCGATGAATTTCAGGACTCAGTGGCGGGGTGATAGCTCGTATTCGCAGAAAAGTGGCGACGAAAACGGACGACCGGGTGATGCTGTTGGGCGAGGTCGTGCGTGGGATTCGCGTCATCA